ACAGAACAAGCAAACCATCCAGATGAGCCTGGATGTTTTTAAAGCTGTTTTGGCTTCATGTCCAATAAAGTTGCTTTGATTTTGTTGGATGTTTTGGGGGGGCAAACATTTTATTGTCTGTTCAGACATGGAAGTATTTATCCAACCAACTTATTCTTAAGCTTTTAGTTTGTTAATTCACGACTTGGGAAGCTTTAAATAAGAAGTCGTTCATGACCTTTGCATACTTGCAGTGTGTTATTCAATTGCAGCAATATGTTGACCGGTCCAATCAAAGGGTCTAAAACCATCTTGTAAAAGTCAGCCACTGATTATGTGGTTCATTGCACAACCTTGTTTCCAAATAAGTTAAAAATTAAAAACAGAAATGTAGTCATTCACAAATCATTTAAAATTAAATTTAATCAAAAATACTAACAAGAAAATGTACTAAATGTAAAAACTCAAAACTGTTTTAAAAAATGTGTGTTGATTTAAACTTGATTCAAGCAGTGCTGGACGGGGATAATACAAACTAAACCAGGAGAAACTTGGGAACTGAATGCACGGAGAAACACACAGCCGTGAGGGAGATCGCGGCACGGGACGATTTTATCACAGGAGTGGAGGAAAGGCAGACGAGTGAGGGGACACAAGAGAGAGGAAGAGAGAGGGTGTGAGGGGGGACAAGAGAGCAAGAGGGGGACACATGGCAGGCTGGTAAAACATGGATAAACATGACAGACAGGAGAGCCATGGGATGAACACATGGAGGGGAACATGGGAACAGAAAAGGGAAACAAGAAGGACACAGGACAAAGACACAAGAGGAACCTGAGAGGAAAGGAACCAAACAGGAAACATAAGAAACTCAAAAAATGGAATAAATTCAAGACTACTAAATGAACCTAAATCATAATATAATACAAAATGACACAAAAAACACATGAAACTCAAAATGCTATGTCAAATGACCCAGAACCATGACAAGCAGAATGTCTAAAAGAGTTATTAACACAAGAAAAGTCCTCTAATGTAAAGAAACTATGGAATATGGCATATTTCAGTCAGCAACAATACTCAGGTAGGCTGTGGTACTTAAACAATGTTCAGGGTGCCAAAGGGTGACAAGAAAATGTTGCACAAACCACCAGAAAACCATTGATGCAAGGCGGGATCAATCCATGTTGCTTACACCAAATTCTGACCCGACCCGACCATTAAAGTACATAGCAGAAACCGCAACTGGACTACGCAATGTTTTTCCAATCTTCTTATGTTCAGTTTTGGTGACCCTATGTGAACCGTAGCCTCAGTTTTCTGTTCTTACCTGACAAAATAGGCAACTGGTGTGGTCTTCTGCTGCTGCAGTCTATCTGCTTTAACATGTTGTGCATTCAGAGATGCTCTTTAGCATATCTCGGTTGCACTGAAAGTTTTTTTTTTAAATTAGTGCTGCCTTCCTGTCAGTTCCGAAGATGACTGGCCATTCCCATCTCTGTATTTCTGTGCAGAGAAGTGATTCTCACTGGATATTTTCTCTTTTTAGAACATCCTCTTTAAACCCTGGAGATGGTTGTGCAGGAAAATCCAAGAAGTTTGTGAAATACTGAGACCAGCCCATCTGTCACCAGCAAACGTGTTACATCCAAAGCTCCTTAATCCAACTTTCTTCCCAATTCTGATACTTGGTTTAAACCTCAACAGGTCTACATTCCTCAGTATATTAAGTTGCTCTCATGTGATTGGCTGACTAAATATTTGTGTTAACAAGCAGTAAAATAGGTGTACAAAAGTGGCTGGTGAGAATTGAGCAAATGTGGTCCACCTGGAATCTTATATACATGTTATTTTCTCGAACTGCATCTTGAATAAGTTAGGATGGAGCAGTAAAAAAAATGTGAAAAAATAATTAATTAATGATTGGAGATTTCCAAATGAGGATACTGCTGACATACATAATATACACTTCTAGCACTGTAGCATTAGTGGTAAAAATATACATATGGAGAAAGTCTGGATTAAAACTGATAGAAAAATAGAAAAAGGCGGAAATAAACGTGCAGCATAAAATATGGCAAATATTATGAAATACAAGACATATGAAAAGGGATCAATATTAATGAACGCTGACACAAGAATTTAATAGAAACTGTTGTTCAAAAAGTGCATCATGGTTTCATTAACAGCTGGATGGGTCATGTGTAGTATATGTAGAGATAAGAATGCCTGTGGTAAAATGCATTACATTTCTGCATGACACTTTATGAATCATGGTAAACCAGTGGTCACTTTGAGTCAGAGCTCAGAATAAATGGATGGTGTTCAAACCGCCTGAGAATACTGTTCACATCTTGAAATCATAAATTCACAGTCCATTCTGGTCCTTCTCAAAAAACTCGGGGAATACTCCTCTGTGATGGATGACTGTTTCGGCAAAAGCCGAGACCAGTCTTAAAGTTAAAAAGAACCATGTTCTGGAAATAAACCAGCTTCTGTGCCTGTGTGCATAGGTTCGGAAAATGACAGCCAACACCATCCACAATAACTTGCACAACCTGTTGTGCGTCATTTGACATATGACCACATCTCTAGTGAGATTTACACCCTCACAGGGACAGTTCTGTAAATCACAAGACAACTTGACAGTGTTTTGTTTGTACAAAACTTTAAACTGCAAAATGCCAACTAACCAAGCTACAAAGTGAGGCAATAACCTCAGTTACCTTTCTGGAATGAGATAAAAGTGCCATGATAAAGCTGCTTTTTTGTTTGGAGCAGCTTATTGAAGGCTGCATTTTGGGTGTTGTTAAATTTGGCACACGAGTCAGTTACAGAATTCGTTCCTAAAAGTTTGTTTTCACACACAAGAATTCTTCAGAGACACACCATCCGTGTTGATACTGCATGCCATCTGCGTCATATCAATGAATCATGGCTTTTTTTCTGTGCTTTTTAAAAAATAAAAAAAAACAAGAAAGATGCTTCTCATTATTTAAATGACTTAGACTTTGATTCCATTGACAACAATGCTCATTTTAGCACCATTTACAGCAGGAAATTACTGGGTCCATGCTATAATAATGTCACTCCTGACTTTATTCTTCACTCAGTTGCAGATTGCTAAATGCAAAATATGGACAGCACTTTTGTATGTGGAATGGAGTCCAATTTTGAGTCTGATAGCAGATTTTAAAAGATTTTTCCTAAGCTGTCTTAGCGTGAAGACATATTCTGATGTTCTGTGTTTTTGAAAAGTGACAAATTTTTAAAACTCTGGTGGACAGTCTAAAAGAGCCATAACACAAAAAGACTCTGGGTGGCATGAAGACAAATAACATCTAAATGCTTGGAAAGCTTTGTGTAACCACAATAGCAAGAATCTGGACAGATGCTCATATGCAGCTACTTAGAAATATGATCTCGATACCACAGAAGAGAGTGACAAGAACAGCGAGGATGAAAGACTGGCCTTTCTTGTGGTTGTTGGTTTATAAAGAAACATCTAGCCTGAGAAAAAAAAAACAGTTGCACAAACTCCTACTGATCCGACTCCTACTAATAGTAAGAAACTTATTACTCACTTGTATTGTTTTTATTGTCTTGGGAAGCTTATAATTAAACCGCTTAAAGGAAAATTAAACAGATACATAAATGCAGCAGAAGAAACCACTGGTTCAAACTACTAGCAATCTGTAGGCGTGACTGAACACTGCTACGATTAAGAGTCCCACTCCATATGTAGACTAACAGGCAGCACAAAGCACCGACACCAACAGGGTTAGAGGTTTAACTCCCAATAGGCCCACACATTTTTAAAAAGTATGTTCTCATCGCACTATAAGGACGTTCTGATAAAAAAAACTCCCTCCAACTGCTTTACATTATGCACACAGAGAGTACATGTTAAAAAAATCTAACATAACAAAACAGAGGACAATACAGACAGCTCAAAGCGGATGGATGGATGAACATTGTATTACAGGATGAATAATGTTCTTTTAATGAGCCGACAGAAGATATCACTGTTTGGGGTTAGTAGGCTATGTGTGTGCAGTGTCTGGGCAATTCATTTCAAAGTTACCGCTGTCTAGGCTCAGTGGCCAGCAGCTAGACTAGAGAACACATAAGACTAAAACTGACTGATAAGAGCTGAGAAAATAAACACACACCTCTCACCCAGTCGAGGCCAACACATTCATCTGTAAAAGGAGGAGGATTGGATAAAATTTGTGTGTGTGTGTGTGTGTGTGTGTGTGTGTGTGTGTGTGTGTGTGTGTGTGTGTGTGTGTGTGTGTGTGTGTGTGCCCTCAAATGATTCAGAGATGGACTGAGGCTGCAAAAGAACAAAAAGTGATTGATGACACTGGATGATGAAAGATCATACACCAAACCAGCTGCTTAGATTTTCCATAAAAATGCAGTCATTGTATTCCCCTACGATACACCCTTACATTCTTTCCTTGGCACTTCTTTAATTTTGTGCATTTCGCCAACACTGCACGTCTCCTCAAGAAGAAAAAGGTACTAATTACTGCTAAAGGTTATATGTCAGATTTGCTATTAAACATGTATTCCTTTCTGTAATATGGTTTTTCTTTACTGCTGGCATTCTGTTTCACAAGTTTTCCATCAGGACAATCATGATTTAAAGGAACTAGTTCACACAAATTAGAAAAAGTTACTTTCACACAATTTTCAAGCATTTTCAAGCATTTCAAGCACCCAACCTGAACTGCCCTTCTGACATGATCATTCTTAATCTGTCCATTTTGGTCATTCCCAATGAAAACCTTTGGATTTTCAAATCTACCACCTTTAGCTAAACCTGTCTATTTGTCAATGCCACTGTCTCCAGTGGAAAAACATGGACAAAGGCAGAAATCCCAGAAACAGATCAGAATGTCAGATAATTGGAACCAACAATAGGAAAAAGAAGAAGAAAAGGTTTTACAGGCATACACATAGACAGACGCCCAATCATAACTCGCATATAAAGACTACAGCTACAATTAACTGACCCATGGCCTCAAGGACAAACTGCTCCTGAGTAACTGTCAGAGGAGGCTGGACACCAATGCTCAGCTTAGATGACTTCACCACACTACTGGCTTTCACCTTCACCTGAAAAAAAAAAAATGATGATGTTAGATGTAGACAGGATACTGGTAAAGGGCAGATAGAATTCTGACACACAAAGTGAGAGAAGAAACAATGATTTTAAAGGTTCACCTGTACGGTCACCGAGGGGACAGGCAGACCATTGATATCGTGGATCAGGGCTTGCTATGGACAGATATTAAAAGGGAAATATGACTTTCTATGTTTATTATTACATATGCATCTAAATGTGCGAATGTGAATTTGTTTTTTTATGTGTGTTTTGTGTTTGTTTACCGATGGGTTGTCCATGCTGGAGGAAACAGTGGTAGTAATGCACAGGTCATCCTCACTATCGGTTTTGGGCAAAATGTCTGAAATACCAACAGTTTAATCTCAAAACACTGAACCGATGTGTTTATTAGTCAATATAGCATTTCACCACATTTTGAAAGAAGGCATGATACTTGGTCAGTTTGCAAACAAATCAACCAGCATACAGAGAGGACAAAAGATAAAATTCACATTGACTTGTTGTTAAAGGCAGTTTAAATTAAACCTTGTGTGGCAGTCTTAAATTTATTTTATATATACACACACACACACTGTTACAGTCATTGATGCTCATATTAAACATGGCCAGTCTCAAATAATGAGGTCAGTGTATGTACAAGAGCCAGAAGCCTCAGACTGCTCTAAACCTCCTGGACCTGTTAGATGTCAAAAAAGGTAATTTCTTAATTATGGTCATTTCATACTCTCTCACTCTTTTACACAGACCTGGCTATGAGCACAGCAGCCCCTCCCACCTCTTTCCAAGGCTTCTGTTTCCCATTCAGAAGGCAGTTAGCTTAAACCAGTGGTTGTCGAACTGTGGGGCAAACCCAACTGGTGAGGTATGGATGCACTGCAGGTGGGGTGTTGACAACCAGGTGACAAATATCAAGTGAAACTAAGGTGGATTTTTTCAGTAAAAAAAAAAATTATTCTTAGCGACTGGACCAGATCTTAGTCTAAGATTTAAAAAAAAAAGGAACTGTGAATCATTTTGAACTGTAAATCAAGCAAAGCCACCCTAGCAGAGTCCAGGATTTCAAATATGGAGCTAAAAATGGACATAAAAGGTCACCTTAAGGAGTAAAAATATCAGATACTTGCTGCTCAGATACTCCAATGGGAAATGTTACCAACTTTAAAGTGAATGTAGACAGTCAATTGATTCAAAGAAAGAGTCACTTAAGAATGACAATATGATTAGATAAACCTAGGATCAGACAAGAAGGATCAAAAGTTGCCTCTTAAGGGCATATTTTGGTTTTATGATAATTAGAAAATGTGTATTATGCTTCCAGCAGTCTCCTACCCTGAGTCCTGGTGGCTTCTCGGATGAATTTCTGCAGTTTCTTCATCTCAGCTTCCACCTGCTCATAGTCAGCCTCCCTGGCATCCACCTTCGGAGTTGAAAAGAAAGAGGGATCTGTACCCATGTAAGAGCACAGAAGTTGACCATCTGAACTTAGACTGACCACGACTCCCTTCACATCCCTGAGAAGAGCAGAGAAGAGGAAAGTTAACTTTTTCCTAGTGTGCTATTGGTCGTTAGTCAAGAACATCTGCCAAAAAGGTCTACTGTAGTTCAAAATTAGTTATTTGCTCCTTTAAAACAAGTAAGCTAAATGCTTATTTAATCCTTTTAGAAAAAGCTGAATATAAAGTTCAGAACTAATTTATAATATGAAACCAGATTAAACGAGGGAGAGCATGAAGAAATGCTGAGTGATGCAATAATGTGTTTTAACTGTGTGTGTGCTAACTGGTTGCAGATGTGTTGTGTGTGTGTGTATGTGTGTGTTTTCTGTTCCAGTCCAGTGAGACGATAACACATACACTCAGACCCACACATGAGGGGGTTCAGGTCAAGAGCAGCAGCCGGCTCCACACCTGCACAGGAGGGCGTCTGAGGGGGCATAAAACTTTCACTTTACTGCTGCGGAAACACTGTCACGCACACGCACGGGCACACACGTACACAGAAAAATTTATATTCATAGAGCCATGACCAAATGCTACAGAAACGCATTCATAAAAGTGATGGTTCTCACATTTATTTAAAGCCCACAGACACACACACACAGACCATGCTGAATAATAGCTCAAAGTTCAACTGAGAGAAAGATTGTTGCGTACGCATCAACTAAAGGAACTCACATAATCTACCAGCAGTGTTAGGTAATACATACATACAAGATATGTGACAATACAAAACTATGTTGCCAGAATTTATTTCAATCTTTTAAAAAAAGTAATAAAAAATGTGGCACTGTGTACACTTTTCGTTCCAGTGTCTTATTACCTTGCACAAATCAAGGTTTGAAAATCCATCCATCCATCCATTCGCTTCCGCTTATCCTTTTCAGGGTCGCGGGGGGCGCTGGAGCCTATCCCAGCTGTCACAGGGCGAGAGGCAGGGTACACCCTGGACAGGTCGCCAGTCTGTCGCAGGGCCAACACACAGGGACAGACAACCATTCGCGCTCACATTCACTCGCACATTCACACCTAGTGACAATTTGGATTATCCAATTAACCTATCCCCACAAGCTGCATGTCTTTGGACGGTGGGAGGAAGCCGGAGTACCCGGAGGGAACCCACACAAACACGGGGAGAACCTGCAAACTCCACACAGAAAGACCCCGGCCTGATGGTGGAATTGAACTCAGGACCTTCTTGCTGTGCGGCAACAGTGCTAACCACCATGCCACCGTGCTGCCAGGTTTGAAAATATTTCTCAAAATATTGTAGTAGTGTACAACACTAGTTCCAAAGAAGGTCTATAAAATGTAAATAAAAACAGAATGCAATGAAGTGCAAATCTCATAAACCCATATTTCATTCGCAACAGAATATATAAAAACATTTTTTATAATGAGAAGTGTATGGTTTTAAGATGTAATGTGATGGTAGCAACATGTCATAGCAAAGCGGGCCAGAGGCGAAAAAGGGCTGGAAAAGTTAGTAGTACCAAGGAGAACATTTTGAAACTAATTAGCTTAACTGGCAACCAGTCAGTAACATGACTGTATAAAAAGAGCATCTTAGAGAGGCGGAAGTTCACCAGTCTGAAACCAGTCTGAGCACTATCTACCAACAATAACACATAGTATATTTATCAAAGCGAGCAATAGGTTCAGCTGCCATCGGAGCAACTGAAGGTAAACTTTTGTCTGGTTCATTTCCCCCCTTTTTTAAAAGTTCTTGAGTGCTACAAATGCTTCTTGAGGCTATTTGCATAAATGATCATTACAGGTGACAGCAAGTATGCATGAGATATCTTAACAATTGTAGCTTGTGTCAAAGTTACAACTGTTACACTGCTGATGGTGCCTGGATTCAATTTCTATGAATTAACTTAACCTTCTATTTAATAACGGTCCTCTCAGATCAGTTTTAACATAAATATATATCAGGTTCTGAGTCTTCACAGTTCTGATTCAGATTTGGTCCATGTTAAACTTGAAGGATCCCAAAATGGTGAGAATATTTAATTTGGGGTTGGCAATAAAATGCAATACTGCCTCCAAAACACAAGAACTCCTGGAGCACTGCTATCAAATAGAGCTAGCCAGAATGAGCTGCTGAAGTGATCATATGTTGTTTTTGTGTGTATTGGTTTTGTTTTGTGTGTTCCTATCCCACACTCTGCACGGTGTCCCACCAACACACTAAATCACCCGATGATTATCAAATGCTTTAAAACAACACAGCCTCAAACTAAACCAAACAGCTACCCAGACACACACTATCTCCCACATCTAAAACACACAGGCACACACACACAACCAAAAACCACATCATTTTTCAACCGTGTTTGTGTTTTGCATTGTAATTGTATCAAATTGGGCTTTGATTGGAGTTGTTTGGAAAAAGACAAAGGATTGCCTATAGCTGGCCCCTCCCCACTACGCTCTGATTGGCCAGCTGGAAGACATTGTCGAGTAGTTTACACACTGGATTTCACAAGCTGATAAACACAACATTATATTTGCTATAGGTGTGTGTTTGTTTACATGCATAATCACTGCTGTGTACACTACATGCACTGAGCTGTCCTAAGCTATCCTTCATCTTTATATTCCTCGAATGGTCATCTTTAAACTAGGAAAATTCTAACATCAGATTCCTTCATTTGCTGGAGGTTATACTCACAAAAAGTTGGCAACACGCACAGCCACGGGGATAAAGGAGAGCTGGGATGCCCACTTCAAGGTCACATCCTGGTAAACCAGCAGCATGTTGGTGTGATTACCTAGCAACAGGTTTGTAGTGCCATCTGTCACTAAACACGACCACAAAAAGAAGATTAGAAACAACAGACCTTAAATATCACAGCATTTTATTTTTAAAAATAAATAAAATAAAACTGGCTTTCAGAAGTTCAGACTCCATCACCTAAAAAAAAAAAGAGGCTAGAGAAAAGCTAAACTAATTCGCTAGTTTTGTGTCAGATTCTCAAATTTCAATTCACAAATTTTACCATGCAGCGTAGTAATAAATTCCTCTGGTGGGTGGCATTGCCCTGTAAGAAGTTCCCACAGTAAAGAAAATCACTTTTCACGTCTGGTTTGTATATAGAAATTTTGTCATCTCGATTTTTCATTTTGAGACAAGGTAACCTTTTATAGGTGTATATACAACTGAAGTTCCACATACACTTTCTTTCATGACACATGGCTTGAAACCTTCAGTATAAATACTACTTACATTTTACTACTTATGTTTCACTCACACACACACACACACACACACACACATCCAGCCAATCCCACCAATGGCGCAGTTACCACCAGGAGAGATCTGAGGTGATGGCCACACGCAAAACAAACACACCTCACTTACACTCACACACACACACACACACACACTGGTACACATACTCACACAGTGGAATACGTAAGTTATAATATAGTAACAGCGGTCAGCAGGGTGGCACAGTGCAGGGGTCGAAATGACAGAGTGTGTTGGTGCCACATTAAAGCAAAATACACACCTTACGTCTCCACATCAGCCTTATAATTACAACCATATTATAAAAATTTCCAACCGGTGTTCTTCGTTCTCCTTCCTTTCTAGGTTTTTTTTTTTACCCTCCTGGCCCACTGATATCTCCACATCCCATTCTTTTCTTTCTCCTTTTCCTTATCCTGACATCTCTCCCCACATCCATTCTGGCCTCCGCATCATAGGTGCCACATCATGATCCTATCTGAATGAATCTGTCACCCATGTTATCATGATCCTAGAATATCATGTTCCTAGAAGTAGGAATCATTAAAATCATGCAGGAGCTGGTCTTTGATTGTAAGGCTTCAGATAAGCAATGAAGCCAATAAAGTTAAATGACAAAATAAGATACAAACAGCATAAAAGAGGTAGACTGGGGGGGGCGAGGGAACTGGTCGAGCAGGCAGCTGTGAAGATGAGCGCCAGAAAGAAAGCAATAGGAAATGCTAAGGAGAGCACTGTTGCCTATCCTCATCTACTCCAATCTCTAGACTATGAAGACACTATAGAAATCCACTGAATGGCCCTGCATAATAAAAGAAGCCCTTGCTGCTTGTTGGGTGGCAGCTCCAGCAGTTAGACTGTCACTAAATATCACACTGTTAAAAATAAACTCTAGAGTGGACTTTGTTTGTTTTTGAGAGTGAAGTCTGCAACAGCAGTCATGCTCCTGGGAATTGTCATCATCCCTCAGTCATGTGGGAATTTTTATGTGGTTTTGACTGTTGACAGCAATCATGTCCCAATAAAAGTTGCTTTTGTTGAAATGACACATTGGGGATTGAGTTTATAGACAATTTCCAAGAGTAATTTAAATAATCTAAATAATATTCAGAGTAGACATTGGAGGGAACTTTGAAAGCTGAGATATTTTAATTGTAAAATTGAAAACAGATATCATGGCCACCTTTTGCAGTCAGTCAACGAAGCCTCCATTCTGGATCCTTCCTCCATAGAGTCAGAGTATTTTATATCAAACGTAATACACTTTAAAAAATGGATCTATAGTACATTGTTGCATAAATTAAAGTGGGCAGAAGCACTTTTGACGTTGTTTTGGCTGCATTTTCAGGAGGTTATACACAGAACTGTACTGCTAACTACATTAATATAATTCGTGTTGCTTAGGGTTGAAAGTGACAGTTAAGCAGCAATCGATAACCACGAAGGTAAGGCATACCCTTTTTCTTCTTAACAATTTTAATATAAAAATCACAGCTGTCCCCAGCTGCCAGTGCAACTTAATGGGACAGAAACAAGGAGAGCAATACTTTATTGAAGTGCTTTTGGAAGCACTCTTGTCCAATTAACAAGTTTTATCGGAAACCTATGGTTTAAAACAGAAACAAAGCTATGAAAATGGTTTCTGGATACAGATCGATTTTATGCACTTGAATCAAAGGGTTTCTGAGTCATACTGGTTTCTTAGGCAACCACAACATCAACCCAAATAATGGATGCGTGACCATGCAGATCATAGGCCACTGTGCATGGAACTAAAACTCATAAATTCACCATCTGTGTGTGAGAATGTGTTTATGCACACCTCTTTTTGTGTATGTTCTCATATTACTCATTCTAAATGACCACAATCAGGCTGCAATTTGATACAATTGCGCCGCTAATTGCTAATTATTGAATAATGGAACTTTGTGAGTACGTGTGTGTGGGGAGAAAATCGATTCATTTAGTCAGGTGCAAGCTTTCAGTAAAAATGACAGCAGAGTCGGCCTCCATCGCCTCCTTCTCTAAGACCAATTCAACATCTGTAGCCAGGCTAACACACAGAACTAATTATCATCCACCCACAGCATATCCTGTCCATTGTGTGCATGATAAGCAGTAGCCTCTTGCCTCAGATGTGACGCCCTTTCAAATGCAGCTAATAATCACCACACTGTACACCTCTTTCTCTTTTCTCCCCATCAGAGGTGAAGTCAGGGAGAGGTGTTCAAAGCTGGAACCCATTACTGTTTAACAAACACACACACACACACACACACACACACACACGTAACCGTGGGTGTACCTACAGTAACGCCTATGATTTCAATATGCTGCATACTCATTATGACAAAATGAATTCTTCATTGAAGTTTCATTGTTTAGATTCAAAACCAGCACTTGAATGTACTTGCACAACACAGCAGAGAGCAGTTTTCAACTTTTTTAAATTAAAAAAAAAAAAAAAAACAAGAAAAAAAAATCATGTGTGCTGGTTATTTAGCAACAGACAGCAGCCAGAGATTAAGTAAGACACAGATTTGCCATCATACGTAGTGACTATTTAAATGCTAAAGAGCCAGATATCTTATTCAGCCGTTCATTAAGAGTACAATTGA